ACTTGTACAAGTATGTATTTAAAGGCCATGACTAGTCTCCTTTAAGGTTGTAACCGATGGCAGTTCTCCTGATATTGATAAAATTAATGAGTTTCAGAAGGGTAGATATATTTTGCCTCCTGAAGCTTTTTGGCGCATTTATGAATTCCGTCTAAATGAGATGACTCCGTTTGTTTATACACTCTAGGTTCACCTTCCAAATCAGTAGTTTGTTTCCTTTGATAAAAACTCAGATCTCTTGCTATTATTAGCCAAAGTTGATTTTTCAAAACCCATGTTAACTGAGTTTTTCAAAATGAATGCAACGAATGCAGTAGCTGAAAATCTTAAATGTTTCTATAGATATTTTCCTCAACATTTCGTTTGGACTGCTAAGTATAAACACTGGACAGAAGGAAAACATCGAAAAGTGATAGGTAGACTTGTCAGTGTTAGTCCAACAAAGGGAGAGCGATATTATGTACGCCTTCTCTTAACTCATGTTCCTGGACCGACATCATTTGATGATCTCTTAACTGTCAACAACGAAAAAATGAATTCGTTCAGAGATGCTGCTTTTGCACTTGGTCTGTTACAATCTTATTCATATATAGAAGAGACACTTGAAGAAGCTGTTGCATTTCAGATATCGTCTTCACACAGGCTTTTATTTGCCACTCTACTGGTATATTGTTCTCCAACTAATCCCAAAATGTTATGGGAAAAGTGTGAACCAAATTTCTCTAGGGATTATGAAAAACATCAGCAATATCATCTATGCTCTCCTAATGAAATTAGGAGAGTCAGTTCTGACTGATATTAACAAATTACTTGAGCAGATGGGTAAAAATATTACTGACTACCAATTGGTGCCACGTGATCTCATGAATGCATATAGCACGTATCTGACGAAGGAGGTTGAGTATGAGAGAAACATCAGCGTACCGCCAAAGGATATATTGCTATCTTCCAAAGTAAATTCTTAGCAGAAATGTGCTTAAGATTTAATCCTGCAAGCATGTTTCTCTTCACTTAGCCATTCTTTCTTTATTGATGGCCTGGGGGGTACCGGTCAAAAATTTTTGTACTGGTCGCTCCTCGCTACTTTGAGATCACAAGGTCATATCGCCATTGCAGTAGCAACATCTGGAATTGCAGCATCTATCCTACTTGGAGGAAGAATTGTACATTCAAGATTTAAAATATCCCTTGATTTTTCAAAGAGCAAAACTTGCCAACTTAGCAAGCAAGGTAGCGTTGCAAAGTTGGTCTCTGAATCCAAATTGATCCTGTGGGATGAGACTTCAATGGCCAGACGAGAAACTGTTGAAACATTTGATGATTTACTTAGAGATATTATGGAATCTAACCTGCCTTTTGGAGGCAAAGTTGTCGTCTTTGGTGGGGATTTTCGACTAACACTGCCTGTAATTGAGCAGTCAACCAAAGAAGTCCTTTTGCAGTCATGCCTTCTTAATTCTCCACTATGGCCTCGGCTTCATAAACGAAAACTGACAGAAAACATGCGAACTATATTAGATCCTCAGTTTTCAGAATTCTTGTAAAGAGTGGGCGAGGGAAAGGAACTTGTTGACCTGAATGAGGAGATAACTCTGTCCGGAGATTTAGTCATTCCTTATTACAATAAAGAGGAGTCTCTAAATAGGTTAGATAATTCACTATTACGCTGCCATATCTGTCTACTTTTTTACCTATATAATTTCTAACTTAGTTCTTCTATTAACAGGTTAATAAGTTGTGTTTTTTCAGATTTAACTCTCTATTCTCGGGGTCCTTATAGTAAGATCAATAGGTGTATTCTTGCTCCTAAAAACAGTTCAGTTGATGAGCTAAATGATATACTGATTAGGAGATTTCCTGGAAAGCTTTATAGTTACACTAGCACAGATAAAACTATTGATCAGCGGCACCAAAATGATTATGAGAATTTTCTTAATTCTCAAAATCCAAAAGGACTTCCTCCTCACAAGTTAATGCTGAAAGAAAACTATCCAATTATATTGATGAGGAATCTTAACCCTCTAGAAGGCCTCTGTAATGGTACTAGACTCATATGTAAAGAACTTGGCCATCACACTATTTCTACTGAAATTATTTTCGGCCAGCATCAAGGAAAAAGAATCATTATTCCAAAGATGCCTCTACAGACTCCTGATAATGAAAAGAATGGCATTGCATTCATAAGAACGTAGTTTCCAGTCTGCCTTTGCTTTGCATTGACCATCAACAAGTCTCAAAGACAAACTCTCGACTATGTTGGCATTTATTTATGTGAACCTGTCTTTTCTCCTGGACAGCTCCATATAGCTCTGTCCAAAGCCAGAACTTCATCTGCACTCAAGATTCTCATTGTTCCAGGGACCTTTGATGGTACAAAAATAGACTGCAAAACTAGAAATGTTGTATTCAATGAAGTATTTGAGTTCAATTAACTGTATATGTCTCTTACATTCAAGTATATCTGGATAACCCCATCCCTTACTGTACTTATTAATGAAACTTCATCCATAGACCACTTTCCAGATTATAAATCTTTTGCCTTCTTTTTTTTGTAGGATGGCTAACATGTTATCAATCAGAAATATCGCTCCTGATATGAAAAATTGGTGTTGTCTTGTAACTGTTCAAGAAAAGCAACAAGTTACTAATTCAATGGGAACACCGACCAAGAAACAAAAATTGATCTTCTATGACTCGGAGGTTGTGTTTTAGAACGCTTTTTCCAAGCATACCAATTCTTCAATTTTACACTCGATTTAACAAACTGTTTCAATTGATCTTCTTAACAGGGTTCCAAAGTAGAAGGCATCATTTTCAATGCTGACATTCCTAAGATGAGTCCTATTCTTCAAGTTTATAGAAAGTACAGGATCTCAAATACTGATGTCAGAAGTATTCCATCAAAATTTCAGACATCTGAATTGACTATGCAATGGGTGATCACTACTAGGACTATTATTGAAGAAGTTAGTAGGGAAGAAAATATTATGCCTGTTAAATTTGACTTCACAAAGTTTGCAGATTTAGCTCAATACATGGATGACAGAAGCAAGTCTGTGGATGAGTTTTAACTACCTTCGACTTACAAGTCTGGGCTCATCAAACTGATTATTGCTTTTTCGAGCTACCTTTGCTGTCTTCATAGACGTTCTGGGAGTTGTTATCAGTTCATTGGAGAAGAAAACGATAACTAGGAACTCCAAACAGTCAAATGTTCAGAAATTTGTCCTCCTTAATGAAGAGTAGGCATCATCTTTTTATAATCCTGCCACTGCTTTCTTGTTATTTTTGGTCATGATCTTTGTTTCTTCGAATGCTACCTTATATGTCAATATCAATATTAGGTCTCCAACAGTGATGCTATCTTTGTGGGATGACTTTTTGAACAATGAAGGACAGATTTTATTGAATAACATTCAAACCTATCCTGTTGTTATCGGACGAAGATTAAAAGTTAACAACTATAACGGTTCGTTAAAATACTGCCCTTCTGTTTAATAACCCTTATTTATTTATTTATAAAACTTGCCAATGGTGCCTGAAATCTTTCACTGTTGTTCATTCTGTAGGAGTTTTACTCTCTACCTGGATTGATTCTGCACTTCTTGTTGACCCACCCATACAGGAAGCAAGAGAACTGAAGAATTGGTTCAATGCCTTTTCCTTCGCTTCTTTCATAAACACACAATATAAGCTATTCTCATTTCTTTTTCCTTGTTTTCTCATTTCATCATTCTTTGTGTAGGGCAATGAGAAATACTAAATTGATTGCGAGCCTCATTGAAACAAAGACTTACATTAAATACAATCCTGAACTCTTTTTGAAAGCAGACCAGAAAACTACTTTAATTTGTAATGTTTCTCTGTCACAGAAGGTGCTAAGACTCTTTTGCTATTTATCCACTTTTCTTAAAATTGCTCATGCATATTTAGCTTCTGATCTTATATCTGGTTACCTTTTAGACTACACTGGTCAAGGCAAAAATCTTTTTTGAACACATTTTCCAGAAATATTGGTATATGAGCTGTGAAAAATGTAACCGTGCTACTGCAGCAGACTACGGGATTGAGTTTACCTGCAATTTATGCAAAGAGAAGAGCCCTGTTGTGCCCAGGTGCTATATTATTAAATCATCAGCATTAAATTTACTTGTAAATTGCACATGATTTCACCATACTTCAGTCTATTAACTAATACACTATATGTTTACTTTTCAGATGTCGGTTCGACATTGATTTAAGTGATGATAGTGGAGTTATACCAGCCTCCGTCTTTGGAGACCTGCAGAGAAGTTTCTCACATTCACCGCCCTTGAAGCAATGAATCATTTTAACCAGGTTATTTTAGCTTCCTGTAATTGTTAATGAAAGCAGCATTCTACTCTCAATTCTCATTCCTTTTTGTGTTTCCTGTGGAATCACGAACTTCTGCTTGAGTTTGTTCACAACAGCTTGAAAACAAAGACATTTCTGATTCATATTAAACCAGTCCACACTCAGTTAGCATATGCCAAGCAACGTTATACGGTTTTACATTATTCTGAACTTGAACAAGAGATTGATTCTGCTCAATTAACAGAACAACCAAATACTTTACCTATCTCAGCTGAACACAAAACTGAGACTGCTCAGCTGCTGACGCCAGGTTGGTTGACATAGTTAAAATTTTAACAAATAATTTCATATCTTACCAGCGTATTCAACTAACCTTTGTCCTCGTAGGATAAAGTAGCTCTGGTTCAAAAGCTCGCCTCCGCCTCACTGATAAGTTTGATGAAGCAGAAACTGCTGACAGTGATGACTTTCAGACTACTACTGAGAATTCCAACAAAAGGACAAAATTGGGATGAATCACCTTTATTCCTTTTTGGACCACTGGAATTTGGATATTTTTTGCCTTTTTCATCTACACTTCTATATGCAAAGAGCAGATTGTTTGTTACTTTTGAATGTGCTACTGCTATATTTGTAAGCCCTTGGCTTCTGTGTGTGGCCATCTGTTAAACAGCTTTTGCATGATCATTTAACATTGATGATGATTTTTGTATCAGTGTTCCTGCCAGCCCTCCAAAGATGAACTGCAATCTTCCATCTTGGATATCACAGAGATTTTTGCAGAAATCTTTGGATTTCTGGCAAGAAACTTACTTTGTGCATCGTGTCAGCTTTAAAATTTATATAATTTGGAGTGTTTTTTTGTTTCTTTTCATCTTTTTTTATGCAAATATTGCCATCAATTCTTTAAACCTCTAGCTATGTATGTACACTTCTTTATTTATTACACGTACCACCTTCTTTGGTACATAAAGATTATAAATTCAGCTCATGTTGCTTCTGTATAGACTGATTCCTTGACTGCATATATGACAGACATGACAAACGCATGGTTATTTATAAATTCACCTTCAGCCAATATAAACATTGCAAGTACACAGTAGATATTGACTTTATATTGTGGTCAGATGACACCTCACACCTAATAATTAACATTGAATGGTCTTTGCTATTAACCATTCTTTACCATCCTCTGCTGCAACCAATAAATTTCTTCACTTATGGTACAAAACAATTCTGCAATCAACATTAGAAGCAATAGAAAAAATAAACCTTTTTTTGCATTCATCCATTCTTTGCACTCACACGCAACTACACATATGCATACACATACATATACATATATATGTATGTATGTGTGTGTAAGCGTGCATGTGTCTGCATATATATATACACACTTTCCTGTTTACAAGATCATCAGCTAAAACTAACTACCATACAATTGCACAAAACGCGTGTCTGCTTAAAGGACTGCAACAGCAAAGCTGTTTATCTGTGCTTCTAAATCTTAACAAGATGAAGTTGCCTTGCACTCACATACTTCCTTGAATTGATGCCTTCTTTTTCTGAGCTTCTTGAACCTTTCTTCTATTAGTTCAATGTCGGAAACAAGCTCTACAACAGCACCAAATCTTCATCTCACATATGACAATTTAACAGCTTGTTGTTTTCTTCTCAAGTGCATCCATAGAGGACAGGTTCAACCTTTCTTTATGCACATCTAAATGATCTAATTCAAATGTTTACGACAAAGACTTTATCAACATTATCTATATTCTTCATGTTCTCCAGATATTACCTTTTTAATTTGAATTATTACTTGCTCAGCACCAATCCAGCAGAATTTTTCTCAGAATTGGACTGCAACAATGGCCTATAATGGTCATTGACCATTCATTTGGAGAAGGTTGGGATGATTTCTGCGAACACAATACCGTTAAAAGACATGATATGCTATTACTTCACTATGCTGGAAGTCTAATATTTGATGTTATTCATTTTTCTGAACTACAAACACAGGTTTACATGTGTTGGACAGCTCCCTTGCCAAATCTTTTGCAGACAAGCTATTTTACTTTGCAAGGTTCCAGCACCATTCTTCCTATCATATATTCTGATATATACAATATATTACTTCTAATTCAATACATACTTCGTAATTATTGCTAATAACTATTCAGGCACTAGGCAGCAGCATGTAGCTTCCTCAATGCAACCAGATCTCTGTCAGAATTTATCCAATTCTGTGTGCTTTTACCAAATTTTTCATTCAGCAACTCCAAACAACTTGGTGAACTAATTCGTCCTTACCTTCGTTTTTTTAATCTATTTGTAAGAAACCTCCTTCTCATTCTACATACATTCTAATTTTAATCTATTACTATCAGCAAATTCCACGCTTTGTTGATCATTTCATAAATGGCAAAAGAACTCCCACGTTGCTTATCAAAACTGGATATAGAAGCACTCAGATTGGTGTCAAGCATAAACGCCTTCAGCGAAATTGGAGAACTTTCATTCTTGAGCACCAACTGCAGCATAATGAAATCCTTGTGTTTATTCCAGAATCAGAAACTATCTTCACAGTTTTAATCTTTGATGATACCGGTGTTGAAAATTTTTTTCCATGGTATCTCCGTCCGTTTACTTGTTAGTCCAACGCTAGTAAGAACTTTTAGAAATGGGTTAGTTCAACGCTAGACCCTTAAATTGTTCATGCGTTAGATTCATTTTTGTGTGATATTCATTACATTTTCATGCATATTTTATTTTTTAGGATTTGTCTCATTTGCATGATATTTTCTATATATTATCTTCTACCCCCTACCCTCTATATGTGTTAATCATGTTATTTAGAATTGCATCTCATTTAAGTTAGTTCATTTGCTTGTCTATGTTAGGAGAATTATTCTTCAAACATGGGAAATGGGTGATTATAATTTTTTAATTTAAATACCCCATCGATCCATGTATAAGAAAATTATGTCACGAGTTTTTGTTTTCCGTACCCATTATAATGCATCCCTATTCTTTGATCACTTATATCTATGTATATAATTTAATTTTCTTTTCTTTTCATTAAATTTCATCATTCGCATATTCGTGACCCCTTCAAGAAATTATTTTGGTTTTCACAAGTAATGCGATTGGTATCAATTAAACCCTTGAATGGATATTTTGTCCCTTTCGATATTTTAAATTTGCATTCATGTAGAAAACATCCAAATGTGATAAAATTAAGGGTTAGATTAAGAAAATTTTGACTAAATCTCGCAACTAGTTTAGACTAGGTTAAAAGGGTACCTTAGATTTGAGTTAATCGAACATTTGCCTTCCCTTTCTTCAATCGTAACTCCCGAACCCATTTTCTCTTGTTTTTCAAAGACCTGGAGTTGTCGAAAAAGGTTTTATTTTATTTTATTTTATTTTTGTCAAAAATATTTTTCGGGTGACTTGGTACACCAAAACTCAATACCAAGTGGCGACTCCTATTTTTTCTTAAAAACCCTTTTAGACTAAATTTTGGACTCAGATTGTCGCATTCTTTAAAGTTCTATTCTAGGTCCTTTTTTACTTATTTTTAAATAAATCACATCTTTTATAAACACCCTCGTATTTTTTCCATCGCGAAAAATGGGGTGTGACAATGAATAATAACAAAAGATAACAAAGATAAGGGTAAATTTGAAAATAAATAAAGTTAACACCAAGTTAACTAATTGCACAGACTTTATTATTGTAAAAATATGTATGTGTGTGTATATATGTATGTATGTACATATATGCATGTACATGCAGTGACGGAGCCAGGATTTTTTTGTTGGGGGGGCCAAAATTTTTTCCTAATAAAATTATTTTAATATATTATGTTCAAAATAATTTTCTTCTATTTAAATATATGACATCTAATAATATCAAATATTAAATTTAATTATAAAGATATATCTATTCATAAATATGTGGTACAATCATAACAAAAATTAACAAAAAAAAACCTTTGATTAAATATCTTATAACATTACAAACCATCCAATTTGCACATCATGAAAAAATGCTCTCCAATATGTCACCTATGCAATAGATATATATATAACCATGTAATATAAATGTAACTATTTTCAATTGAAAAAGATAAAAATTATATTAACATACTTTGAAATTTCAACATCTTTTCTTAGAAGTAAATTGAGCTCTACGTTCTTTCATAGAACTAAATTCATCTATGATTGAATCACTGCTAAATTTTTCAGCAACTTCCTTTTCTATATACACAGTTAAACAATCATTCAAGAAATTATCTTCCATCTTGTTTCGGAGCTTTGTCTTGATTATTTTCATAATTGAAAATGCCCGCTCTGTAGTTGCAGTTGATACAGGAAGAGTAAGAACAAGTCTAATCAATCTGTCAATAAGAGGATACATCACTGATTTTCTTGTCTTCACCAAGCCTTGACATAACTCATGAATACCAGATAATTCTTGCAATTCAGGATGATTTGGAATGTCAAGCTCAAAATGTTGAAGTTCTATTCTTAGACGTACTAGTTCTTGCTCCATAAAATCATTCGGATAGAACTTCTCTGCAAGTTTACAAATATCATCAATCTTGAACAGCATAAATCCATTTCTAGGATCTAAAGCAGTGCTCAAAACAAGCAATTCCACGGTATGATCATTAAACCTGCTATGTAACTCTTGCAATTGATAATCAATTGTTGCAATAAATATATCCACTCGATAATAATGCTCCACACTAATCTCATCATGATGACCACGAGATCTACCACGTCTTGCAATATATTGAGCATTCATATCCGGGATATCAATTTGATGTTGCTCACAAAATAATTTAACTTTCACCAAGAAATCATTCCATCCCGAATCTCGAAAATTCTTCAGTAGCTTTGTTGTGCTTGAGACAAGATGCATTCCATTCAAAATATCTTGAGATTTACGTTGCAATGCCATACAAAGATGATGAGTGATTTCCATAATGTCTTTCATAAGATGCAATGTGAAAACAAATCCAAAGGATAACAACTGATTCAAAGCAAAATTAGCATCTCCACGTTGAGAGTATGAACCTCCATCTGCTGCAATGTTACTTAAAACCACACAAGTAGCATTGAACATTTTCAGTAAACTAGAAATAGAATCCAAATGAGAACCCCAACGAGTATCTCCAGCTCGTTTTAAAGTGCCAATTTGATTAAGCCCCCTTCCAGTTTCAAGTTCACCATTAGCAATCTTAGTAGCAATTTCAATTGCTTGAGCCTCCTTTAATTCATCATTACGTTTGCTAGATGCAGTAACAATGTTGATAATGAAAACTAAATTGGAGAAGAATTGGTGAACAGAAGCTACTTCTCTAGAAGCTGCAACTAAAGCAAGTTGAAGCCTATGGGCCAAACAATGAATGTAATAGGCATATGGACATTCATGGCAAATTAAAGCTTGCAAGCCATTCCATTCACCTCTCATATTACTAGCTCCATCATACCCTTGTCCACGGATGTTATGAATGGCCAAATTATGTTGAGAGAGAGTAGAAAAAATAGCTTCCTTCAAAGTTAAAGCCATAGTATCACGGACATGAATAACACCAAAAAATCGTTCACAAATGCATCCTTCCTTATCTACATATCTCAAAACAAGAGCCATTTGCTCTCTTTTGGACTCATCACGAGCTTCATCAACTATAATGCAAAATTTTGAATTTCCAATCTCTTGGCAAATTTCTTTTCTAACCTTATTGGAAAATATATAAAGAATCTCCTTTTGAATTTCAGGAGATGTATAGGAGGCATTGGATGGAGCATTTTCTTGAACAACACTTGCAACCTATCCATTAATAGAGCATAATTATAATTTTATAAAGATAATAACTAAATGGAAGCATATTATGAATTAAAAAGATTTCTTTCAAGCATGCATATTATATAAATTCAAGAAAGAATGCAAAGCTGGAAGAAAATCACTCTTACCTTATCATTATAAGAAGCCAACAACTTAATAAGTTGATGAAAGTTTCCACGATTAAGAGATTTTTCACTCTCATCTCGTCCTCGAAAGGCACAACCTTGAAATGCAAGCCATCGAACTACATCAATTGAAACTTGAAGCCTTAATCGATTAATCTCAACTTGCTCAAAACTTTGTTTCTCAATGAAAGTTCCAATGTGTTGAGAAGCATTCATCAAATCATTGCAGGCTTTTACAGCAATTCTATGAAATGAGTTAGGATTTTTCCCCACATGTCGTAAGAAAGCACAATTATCTCCATTATTGACCTTCTTCCAATTCTTAAAGCCACCAAGAACAAATGCACTTAATTCAACTCGTCCATTCGGCTTACTAAATAGATAGCATGAAAGACAAAAAGTAGCATCAATTGATGGAGAATATTCAAGCCAAGATGGAAACAATTCAAACCAAGAGCTACAAAAATGACGAGCATGTTTCTTTGAACCACTTGAAGGGTAATTTTCATGCTTAACTTGATATGGCCCCCAATTGATATAAGCTCGACGAATTTCATCTTGTTGATTAAGAGGATAGCTCCATATAGGTGGACGTTTTCCGGGATCACGCTCCAAAGAAGCAATATCAATCTTTTCAAGTTCAACTCTTTGAATTTTTTTGGGAGGTTCAACAACCAAACTCTCACTAAGAATAGATGATGGAGTAGCATCACTCTCCTTGTGCTTTTGATCTTCAATAATTTTTCTTTTAAAAAATGCATCAATTGTTGTTGACTTAACCATGGAGAATAAATTTCAAACCTGAATTTAATTCACACTTCATAAGTTATATACAACTCTAGCAAATTATCATAATAAATTATACGTATGCCAAATTAATATTATATATGCATTATATTAGTATTTCTTTGAACCACAAATAGAGTATGGAACCACAATTTTAAATGATACACACTTATTAAACAATAAAATACTTTATACATGTCAAATTATATTTCTTGAGAAAAATATACTACCAATATAGTATAATATCACAATTTTGATACTAGAAATGTATTTTACAGGAGCATAAGATAATTGGAAAGAGGAAAAGATTAAATTTCATAATAAATTAATTATAAAAGGAAAAGGTTTAGTACAGGCACCAGAGAATGGAGCCAGCCACTTCACTTCAAGTTATTGGATTCTACTTTCTAGCACCAAGTGACCAAGCCACGGAAGCCACCAATGACCAAACGGTCCAAACCAATCATGGTGTGAATCACCCTTGAATTTTGATGAATCTTCTTTGAATCTTTGTTGTATTCTTCTCCAGACTCCAGTTCTCCTGTCTTCTTGCTCTTTTCACTTTACTTTTGTGTCTACCCACAATCAAGTGCCACCGTGAAAGAAAGAAAGAAATGAAAAGTCACCCTCTGACCCACACTTCCTTTTTGATCCGCATATCAGAAAAGTGGGCAAATAGCTTCCTTTGTAAGCTTTTCTTAGAATACTAAAGATAAAATAATTTTTTTTAAATCTTTTATCCATTGGGCTAAGTTATATATAGTTGTATATGGGCCAATAAAATAATTATTTTTGTTTTAGCCCATTAACAATTATGAATTGGGTCATGATATAAACTCTCATAATATAAACTAAAATTGTAAAAATTTAGGGGGGGCCAATTTTATTTTACACACAAATTTACATATTATGAATTAAAATTTTCAAAACATGGCCCCCCTCTGCCCCCCCTTGGCTCCGTCATTGTGTATGTGTATATATATATATGTAAGAGTACGTGAATGACTTATTCTATTCTTTAAAATTACAACTTACCCATGAATTGTAACATTTTCTGCAACAAAATATACCTACAGAAAAAAATAACACTAAATTTACTTCCCGTCTTGCTCGTTAAGAGTCGCAACAGAAGAACCCAATGCGACTAGCTTTTCTTTAGCTTCTTTGCCATACACACTTCGACCTCACTAGCCAGTCCATTGTCGCTTATTGAGGACTTTAGTTAGCCTCGTAGTAGGCAGGCAGCCACTTCTCCTGTCCCTTTTTTTCGCTTTTTCCCCCCTCAGCACTCAATTTTTAGGAAAATGTTAATTTTTATTCCCAAATTTTGGACCATTTCATACTCAAACTTCTTGACATAACACATTTAATATCTAAACTATCAATTTTTTATCAATTTCATTCTCAAATGGAAAATTAATCAATTTGGATTGAAAAATGCCAGTTTTTTCGCCAAAGTTTTTGCTATGGACATATTTTGTCCTCAAACTATGCATTGTCTATACTATTGATTCTCTCTTTTATTGGCAGCTATTGATTTGGATGCAGTTGTTTGAGGACGAAATATGTCCATAACCCAAAGTTTGGGAATGAAAACTAATATTTTTCCATTAATTTTTCCTTTGACAATGAAATTGGTCAAAAATTAATAATTCAGATACTAAATGTGTTATGTCAAAAAGTTTGAGAACAAAATTTATCCGTGGTCCAAAATTTGTCTGGCATTTTCCCGTCAATTTCCTAATGCAATGATTAGAGTATAACTTCAATTTGACTACAATCTTTTACTATTTTTGTTTTTGTTTTGGCTCTACTAAGTGAGCTAGGGCTGGATAGTTTTAAAGCTTAATACAGAACAAAAAGATGGCACCTAACTTTTTTTCTTTTTTTTTTTTTTGTCGATATGATAGATTCTACACCTACTCCTATTTATATTATACATTAAGAGAAAAAGATGGACCAAGAAGATCAATGGCAAATTACTAAACCTAACTCATTTTCTACCTAACCCGGAGGGGACAAACACTAAGGGCACCTAACCCATTTTCTACCTACCCATGGTGTGTCTAACTTTCAAAGGGGTTAAGTGAATACAGACAACATGTTGCACGTTTGGTTCCACGCAAAATCCATCTTTAATTTCCAACCTCACGTTTTATAAGCGGGGGTTGGCGGCTAGCTGCGGACCATCGGTGCAAGGGCTTCTTTGAATTTAATCAATTTGCTCAATTTATTCATTTTAGTTTGATTTTCTCAATGTTTTTTCCTGGGGATAATTTCAGAGGGGAGGTTTCTGATAATTTCACTGAGCTCCTCTAAGATTTAGAAAATTACACATATCTCCCTTATCATTTAAAATAACAATACTATCCTTGAATATTTTAATAAAATTTTCTTGTTTTGTATGCTTATACTTAGAATGACTTTAAAATTATTTTTTCATTCTTTTTCCTTCTTATTCCTTTTTATTTTAATTTTTTACCAACAAATTTGTAAAATTACCATTATTATCTCTAGTTTCTATTGTAACCAAATGTCGAACTAATGATTTTTTTGTGAGTAACTGTATATGTAATCCGATGTTTTTTGCTAATCTTTGTTTTCTATTTTTTTGGTATTAAAATTAACAATAAATCAAAAAATTTTGCCCAAAATCACTACTAAATTATGATAATCCCACTATCAAAAAATTTATAAACTCTGAATCAATTATTTCAACATTTTATTTTCTATCTTATAAATCTAAACCCATAATAAAATACCATCAAAAATATTCTTTCATAGTGAAAAAATTATTATTATAATTGTTTATCAAATAGTAAGTATAGACATGAAAAATTTGGCATCTTTGCCTTATAATTACATTAGATAATCTTATAATTTTATAAGGAAGTAAATTAAAACTTATTACACAAGGGCATTTTTGGGTATTCATTTAAAAATTTGACCAAGTCAATATTATTTTAAGGTTTTGTTACTAAAACTATCAAATCAAGAGAGGTATGTGTAATTTTTAAAACCTCATGGGAGCTTAGTAAAATTGTCAGAAAGCTCAGGGAGGTTTCTGAAATTATCGCTTTTCCCTTCTAAACAAGTTTCCTAAGTTGATTTACACATAAACAGCTACTCAAACGCACAATACATACACACAAATTAACACACCTTCAATATTGGTATACAGAGATTACTATTAATCAGAAGTAAAATTGAAAAAAACTAAGAATTTCAATTTTATTAAACGCTACCTAAATAAGAATACAATGAAAGATTCTAAAACTTAATACTGGACGTCTGAATTGGGTTGGAATAACCCAAACTTAATTCGATCAACCCTAAATGTAGTGGATTGAATCTTATGCAATGTGAGTTGAGGTGAGTATGGCTAAATATTTTGCATGATTTAAATATGAGCTAAATTTGAATTGTGCTGAAATCAGTCCATTTAATTCTCGGCCCAAACAATATATATACTAAGGCTCATATGTAGGAATTAAGAAGATTTATTTATCTAAATCTAGTCAAATAATTGAAATTTAGATGGCTAATTTTGCGATAAATTTTTCCTTTTCAATCTCTAGTTGATAAATTTATAGATGTTATGGTAAACTATATTTTTTTTGTCAGGAAATTCAACTTCTTTTAGATATTAAGAACATCTATGGATTAGTTGGCTATTTGGTTTAAGTAGATTTTCTAAACATGAAAAATACATGACATAAGTTAAGGTTTTTCTTTTGAACCGAACACGAGCTACAAAAATATGAGCATAGCTAAGTTGAATTTGGGCTCAAAAGAATGATATTTTTATTTGAGTTGAATTTAAGCATGTCAAAATCCAATTCACATAATCTAATTGACAAGCTTAATTAATACTTCCAATTCGAGTAAAAAAAGGAATACACTTTATAGATGCAAAAGCGGATCAGCAAAAATACCTGCTGATCCGAAAACCCGTGGGATCCGATCCTATTCACTCCAAAAAATAGGGTATCCAATCTACATTATTTGATCAAGTCAAAAAATGGTTGCATACCGCTTATATACAGGGTGGGTTAGGTTTAGAGGATTAAAAGTTTGCGAGTACCTGACCTGCACTATATATATTTTTTATTTTTTATTTTCATATACATACATAAAATATTATTTTTAGAGCTAACTAAGTAATTTTATTGAACAAATTACATCCAAATATGAGCGCATATAATTTGTTTACAAAATTCATTTATAGAGGTCATAATCTTATTTTAAAAAAGAAAAATTTTAATTGATGTAGAATATATATATATATATATATCAGGGAAATGCTTATAACAATTTTCATTAGTTTTGAATTCTTATTTTTTTTTCTTGTTTTCTCTTTGTGTGTCTGTTTCTCAACATAAGATTTTTTTTTTTGGGTAAAATCTACTAGTAGGGGTGGGCAGTGGGTGCCCATTAGGATGTACTCATTGGTAGTAAACAGTCTAGAATTCCAAGGTGCAGAACAATGAGCTAGAAGGTACAAAATTAAAGCATTAAACATTCATGTAAAGAAGCATATTGCAAAGCCAAATAACTGAATAACTAACTAAACATAAGAGCAATGCAGACGAGAGTTCACCAAGCAATAGGAAATGGAGAAGCTGCAAAACTCGTGTTCTCTGTTTTACGAAAATCACCGAGAAGGATGCTATGAGACCAAACAAAATGAATAAAAGCTTCTGAGCTTTAATATGTTTCGTCAAACGTAGCCTTCTTGTTTACTGTTGTCAAAAATTTCATCTAAAAAAGTAGTCAATGGTGAGTAAACCATCCATTGAGTCATGGTCCAATCTATGGTGAATGTATGATAAAAGTACAAAGAACAACTGATCAGGTGGCTGAAATTTATACAAAGAACAACTTAACTGTTAGCAAATAGTAAACATCCAATCATAACAAGTGATTGAAAGAAGTAAACCAGTGGCCTATGACTTGTAAAGATTGTTTGAATTTTACCATTGAACGATCTAACGGTT